TTTGATTTTCCAGCACATTATCATTTCTTCTTCCCCACTAATACAAATGGACCTAACCAGCAACTTTATCCCCAACAAGAGAGTGCTTGCTGTTTGAAAATCCACCCTCCCTTCTCCCAGTTCTTCCAACAGGGAGGAGGGTGATTGGATCAAGGATACATGGCTCTTACTGTCCAGGCTGGCCTCATGAATGACAAAGTGCTTTGACCTGTGGTCAGAGAACAAAATTCTTCAAAAGTTATGAAATCAACCAGCCCTACATGTGTAGTACTGTAAGGTTATATAAGATTGACAAGGTCTCCATTTACAGTCCAACTGGAGAAGACTTGAAAACTAAACACAAGCTTACAGTGTAACGTGATTAATTGCCAAATGAGAGTCAAAATGGGCATTTTGAATTGCCATATACTCAAGATTATCCAGGGTTAATTGTTTGGTAGAATTGCTGGAGGATGGACTTTCAAGAAAATATTAAATCTTTAAATAATCTGGAAAGAAGTGGAGGCATTTTTTTAAAATTAAGAAAACGATCTTAGATTTAAAAGAAAACTTTGGGATATAATGAGGAATCATTAGTGTCGCCTTTTTTCTTAGCAAAGTGGTTCTGGAAAGTAGGGGGCTCGGTAGAGTTTTTAAGGTAATGATGTATTCATATTTTTTACTGCTGAGTCAGAACCAACCCATATCTGACCCTCTAGCAGGTTTTCAGAGGCAGTAAATAGCATGGGAGATTTGCCTAGCTCTCGCAGAACAACTGGGGAAGATAAAGTTAGCTATGAATTTTCTGTCTTTTGGAATAGAGAAATGGAGAGAACTAGACATGAGGGATAGGCAAAGAAGAAATGAGTCAGTTCAGAGGAGAATATGAAGAACTATTGGGTTAAGACCTAGAGTTTTGAAATCTCAATGGGAAATAATAACTTCCTAGACTTCAGATACAAGATTCATACTGGAATTGAAGGTTTGGTGTGGAAATAACTGACAAAAACAACATTAATGGAAATCTCTAAGAGGGGAACACTTTAGCGAACTGGAGGACCCTCCAAGGTCTGTGCTGGCACCTATTTATGTATTTAAGGTAGTATTAGTCTCAGCATTCTGTGACTAAATCAGAACTTGGCGCCAGGCATTCAGTCCATTCATAGGGTGACTCTGGGTGGCTGCTTAGCCTCTTGGTACTTGTTTTCATATCTGTAAAATGAAAATGATAAACTAGTACCTACCTCAGAGTTGTTAAGGGGATTACATGTGCAGTTCTTTGTTAGCTTAGATCTTGTAATACATGTATTTCACGTTACACTCTATACTTAAAAGTTTTCAGTTAGATCACTTAAGTAAGAATATTACTTAAAAATTAACCCCAAAGCGGCCGCCATTACCAGAATAAAGACGTATCAAGCTGCAACGAAAAAAAAAATTAACCCCAAAGTTATATAATACAAGTTTTTTATCACAAATTTTACAAGTACTTCAGCTCAAAAATAGTTTCCATTTGTGAGTACAAATGTAATTTCTTTATTAGTAAAATGTAGATACATAGTCTAAGGCAAAGGTATAGGGGAAAACAGAATTGGAATGCTGAAGAAAAAAATTACATGATACAGAAAAAAGGAATTTTAGCAACAGAACTAAGTATAAATGCTGGTAACGTACAAACTATACACAGGCAGAAACAAACACTAATGGAATTTTTTGTTTTAATTTTTTTTTATTTTATTATTATTTTTGTGTGAGTGTACCGTCACATCAGACCTGACTGGTACAGGAGGAGATTGTCCCTCCTTCTCTGGCAGAGCATCTGGTGGATTAGAACTGTGCGCCTCTGGGATTGTAGTTGCAGCTCCTTACCACTAGGCCACCAGAGCTCCCCTAATGGAATTTTTTTAAGTAGTGATTGGCCACATTTGGCTAGTGAGGGAGCTCAAAGAAAGCCATTGTGCTCAAGATTAACCCAGGAGGTAAACTAGGGCCATAGTCTTGGCTTGATGCCTGTAAACATTTAACCTCAAGGTCATTAAAGGTATAATCTATAGAAGCCTGCTGCTACATTTTTTTTCTCCAGTGGAGTAACAGGCTCACATTTTCACTCAGCAGCTGAGCAAGTAACCACTCTTTCAACAGGGGTCTTTGATTCTGGTGTCCGGGTTTTCTCTTCCCTGTTCCATCTAAAGATCCAAGGCTAGCCAGTGTAGGATTTTACTTTAGAAACAAATAAGACTGCCAGTTTGTAGTGAAAAGAATCATGACCAGGGAAGAACTCTTGGGACCTGAGCTGAAACAAAGACCTGGTGATGTCAGAAACATGCCCTTGTGTGTGGCTAATCCTGAATGAGAAGCAGGACACCTAAGTTGGTTGTTCTAGGGCGATGGATCTCAAAGTGTGAGCCTGTACCAAAAAAATTAACCTAACTAAACAGGAGATGTGCTATCTATAATAGGAAGCCATTGGTGGCCTTGAAGAGTGTCAAGAGCATATAAGAATAGAGGTTGGCATAAGACTAGACTTGGAAGAGAGGGTGGAGGTCAAAATAAGATAGTGTCTTGGCTTAGAGGGTTAATGGGCAGGATTTTCTTGGTTTGTTTTTTTTTAAAGTTTGATGCTTTAAGGAAACACTGGAGTAGAAATGGGAAAGTAAAAATATTACAGATTATGTACAGTACTATAAAGGAAAAACACGATGTTGGGATAGAAAATGTGGACTGACCTCTATTAAGGGTGATTAAGAGCAACATTCTCAGAGGAGGTACTATTAAAAGTTAGTGTCTCGGATAAAGAAGGAAATGACCATATAGATGAGTGGGAAGGAAGCCCTTTCAGGAGAGAAATCAGCTTGAGGATGGCAATAACTTGACATGGTCAAAAACATGATTTGAGCATGGCTCCGGATACTTACAAGCCTGTTGAGGTTTGGTGATTCTAGGCTAGATTAAAAACCATTGGTAGTGTTTTCATCATTACATGATTATGTGGTCTGATAAGTAAAATAAATATGAGGTCTCTAAAAAAGGGTAATGATGCAGGTTTAAGTATTTTCACAAGGAAGAATGACCCTTGTATTGGATGGAACTCACTCTGGTGCCAGAAATTCAAGAAAAGAAAGTTTGTCAGGTATAGCAGTAAGTATGGAGTCCGCTCAGTCTATACTGAACCAAGATAGTGGATTTTGGTTTTTGTTCACCATGATTTACTGCATAGCAGGGGAAGTGTGAAAAATAAAATCATGATTCAAATTGGAGATGGCTGCAACAACAATAAATACTTTTTTAAAAGTGAACTGGGGGGAGGGAGGAAAATGCAACAGTGAATAAATGAAAACCTAACTTTTCTGTAAACTTTGATTAAAATCACAGCAGACTTTCCCATGGCAATGCGCCTTTTAATTTCCTGGCTCCTGGTGCCAAGACTGTTGACTGTGGAGCCAAGCAAACTAAAGCTGTGTACAATCTCAATCTCTTCCATCCTGATGCTGCCAGTTGGTCCAGTGGTGAGAATCTTTGTCTTCTTGACATTGAGCCTCAATCCATATTGTAGGCTGCAGTCCTTGACACTCTGCAGCAGGCACTTCAGATCCTCTTCAGTTTCAGCAAGCAGGGTTGTGTCATCCGCATAACGCAGATTGTTGATAAATCGTCCACCAATCTTGACCCCACATTTCTCCTCATAGAGCCCAGCCTCCCAGATAATCTGTTCTGTATATAGGTTGATAAGGTATGGAGATACCCAGCAAATTGCAGATGGCTTGAGTCTGAGGAGCAGAAATTGAAAGAATGCCTAAGGAATGTATTTCTTCCATTGTTTTTATACAGATTATATAAGAAAGGTGAAGAGATTGAAATTGTTCACAGCTTTAGTTTGCTTGGCTCCACAGTCAGCACTCTAGGCACCCACCAGCAGCCAGGAACTTTTTTTTTTTCAATCCTATTGGCAGCATCAGGATGGATGGCGAAGAGATTGAGATTGTTCACAGCTTCAGTTTGCTCGGCTCCACAGTCAACACTCTTGGCACCAGCAGCCAGGAAATCAAAAAACGTATTGCGATGGGAAAGTCTGCTGTTAGGGACCTCTCTAAAGTACTCAAGAGCAACGGTGTCTCTCTGGAGACTAAGGTGTGCCTGACACAGGCCATGGTCTTCGCAATCGCTTGTTATGCATCAGAGTTGAACAATGACTAGGGAGGACAGAAGGAGAGTTGATGCCTTTGAGCTGTGATGCTGGAGAAGAGTATTGAATGTACCATGGACTGCCAAGAAAACAAACAAATGCATCCTGGAGAGGATTAAACCAAGCAGCTCCTTGGACACAAGGATTCTGGGGCTTCATCTGACATACTTTGGGCATGTTGCCAGGAG